TGATTGATGTTCTGATCGAGTGTCCCACAAAATCCCTCAAGCTGTCGCAAGGGGATGTGCTCAAGGCGGTAGCCCTGTGGACTTGGGGTGACGACGCGCAGGCCGATCGGGGTTCGTTCGGTGCAGCAGGTCTTCATTTCTAGCATCATCCAGCCTTTCCATACATGAAGATGGTCAGTGTTCCTCAAAATCGATACAGTGTTGGGTGCACTGAGGATGGAAGAGACGGCGCTTCTATCTTGAGGAGACACCTCGAGGAGGCAGTGACGAAAGCAATTCTGGAATTGAGGTGAGGGTAGTATTGAGTGAAGGAGTCTGGTTTCTAATTGACGGTGAAACTTTACCAAGATATATGTCCATTTGCATCTGCCTGTATAAGTAACATGGAGGTGCACCCGCCTTTCGTTAGTTGTCGAGGTGACAGCAGCAGCTCCGGGCTATAATTGGCTAATTACTACTCCGAACTTGTGGCCCTCCTTAGGCTAGACTCGACACGACAAAAGAGTGGAGCCAGTGGCTGGCTATCCGCCCACTCCGCGACAGGGCTAACAGGCAGCGGGCCAAGATAGTTGACGGGGGGTTGCATGTAGGATTCCTGCTGTGTGGCTGAGCATGCCTGCGCGGATGGGCTTCGCAAGTACGGCGGAAAGGAGAAAATCATACACGGTCATCAATTTGCCGCGGGGGAGGCGAGGTCATGCGAGGGGCGACCCTCAAACATGCCTTCGGTTGCGTGGGCTAAATTTTTAGTACCGTACGCTCGGATACCAGGGTCCATGTCCCTGACTGTGGACAGGCCCGCTCAAAATGGCCAGCAATCCCCGTAATTGCGCGTGGAGGGTTTTAGGTCATTGCGTGGAGATCGGCTCTGCCTGATGCATGTCTCCTTTCTTCTGATAGTAGTAAACTCATGCCCCAAGCTTCGTGACTTGCAAGGAGTCTCGAATAGGCCAACAAACGTTCTCCCGGTTCCCGCAAAGGAGCAGTACTCTTGCCTTCGGGTGACACAGTGGCATCGACTCCCGCGTGAGCCAGCATCGCTGACTGAATTCAACAAGCATTCTGGTTGATAAACAGCCACCACCTCCACTGCCGGGGTCGGGGGTTTGGACATACCTACTACGGATATCTGTACTCCCATCGACGGGTCTATCGCAAACCCCTTCCCGTCCAGCTTGAGGCGTCGACAACACTCTGCCGGGCCCAGTCAACCGGTGCTCGCCTCTTGCCCGACGTACGTTCCCACTGTTCGCTGAGGGGGCTCCGCCTCATTGGGGTCTAACTTTGAGCAAGCAGACAGGCCCCAGTTTAGCTACTCAGCTACCTGTCGTTTGCTCATGCTACAAAACTTGCCGCGAGTGCTAGCGACGCTGCGACACGCATGCCCCCAGGTTCCTTGATACTTACTCTGTCATTTCACTCCTTGGGACCAGAATCTTATTCTCGTACTCACTGTTGAATCAGCACTCTGTGGTGGCCACGGAGCGGATTGCCTTTGCCGTATCTGTCTCAACAGCCATCCTGGCACGACTATCCTCATTCCTTTTCTACTGTCGATTCACATGGGATATACCTGCCCAGATGAGCAGTCGGCAGATCTACACCAGGCCACCACTCAAGACGTTTGATCCGGCTGATCACGAAGCATATATTTATCGACACAGCTCTTCCTGTCGTTCTATCGCACTGTACCAGTAGGGACGTCTGCACATCGCAGTCGACACTGGACGTTGTTTGCCCGCTGTCGCACGGTCACATCGTCACTGTGAGCTGCAGCACTCGAGAGGCAGCAGATCCTCTTTCATCCAGCCACCCTCGCACACAAACATCATCTCCGCGACCTAGCAACAAATCACACGCCGATTCCGAAAGCACACGCTAGTGTCTATTGCCATGTCAATTGGCAAGCCATAAACGTTGCATACCCACGGTGCCTAAACCACGCACGCTTCCTGACACACATAGCCTTTTGTCACGGGGCAGGCTTCCTCCTGGTCAGTTCTCTCCTCCATCTGCACAGCACCGTCGTCGATGTGTTTTTTTCCTATCTTCTGGTGGTTGTGTGTGGGAACTGTTCTGTTTTCTGACCTGGCACGTTATCAGACGAAGAAGATCGCCGTCTTCGTCTTCACCGAGAGCTACCCATCGAGCTTACTCATTCGCAGCCCACCTTTATCCACCCTCTGGTTGCTCTTTGAGCAGTTCGCCCCGTGTGCCTCGCAGCACGGTGGCGCGCACCATCAACCTGGTTGGCCTGGACAGGCACTTGATCTGGAGAATTCGGATTCGCCCTCGCCATCCAAGCTATGGTGCAAGACTGGTCTCGAGAGGCGTTACCTCCGCGTCAACCGTGGCCGGCTCATCAAGGGCGGGAGGCCTTGCAGAGGCGGTACCCCGAGGCGCCGGAAGGCAACCGATGCATGGTAGGTAAACCTGTCGCTATACTAGCTAGTACTGGCGTTCTAACTTTAGTCTTCTAGTCTATCGAGAATGGGCTTAGTACGCATTGTGGTATCTCGAGCAAGGTGAACTTCCTTGCGGTCATGAAGGATGATGGAACTGTTTCCACATTCAGCACTCCCGGACGCAACTTGGATGCTATGGAAGCTGAGTTTTTTAACCGGCAAAGATACCAACAACTCAGTAACAACTTTGAGCTTGGTAAGTTCCGCTTGGATAGCTCTTGGCGGCAAGCTGTTTCTAACCGTGGATTCATTCAGATACCCAGTTGAACATGCCAGTGCCCGAGGGGAACGCTTACTCGCGGGCTGGTTACGCCACTGCTCGATATCCCCCCAGTCGTTCACGTCTCACTGGACTCGACGATGGCGGAGATGATCACTCGCGGCCCACGAAGCGACCACGTGCTGTACCTCGTGCACCCCCGGAACCTGAAGAGGAGGACCAGATGATGCGCCGGCGGCGTATACAGATTCAAAAGTCCGACGAGCTTTGGAAATTCTATGAGGAAAGGTTCAAGAATTCCCAGCAGTCTGCATGCAAGCTCATTGCCAAGGCCTGGATCAAGGCGGTAGAGCCGAAGAAGCAGTCAACCCACCCTTACACAGGATCCGACGAAAAGGCACCGAGTTGGTGGCCGAAGCCATGGGGCAGCGAGAAGGAACACAAGGTCCGGCACAAAGAACCCGACCATTCGTACAAGCGTGGTGAGTCTTGGGTGGAAATGCGCCTTCATGTCAGCGCTAACGAAAAGCAGAGCGTGTCCATCTCCTTAATCACATCATCAATCTTGTGACAGAGCCACCCGAGAAACAGCATCCTGGGCTGCAAAAGCTGCAGCTGGACGTCAAAAAACTAGAGGAATGCACAAACGAGGCATTGTCTGGGTTTTATGCCGAAAACGCCACCAATGCCAGCAAGAAATCGTATATCAATGAGATCTTCAAGGTCGCCAAGCAGCAAGAAAGATACAAGGCCGGCGCGATTGGTAAGAGGAGGCCCCTTTGGCGTTTGACGTATTGTATGCTGATCCTCTCCGCAGATGGCCACACCGAAGTCTACGTTTTGTGCAGAGGCGATCGTTACGGAGACCAGGCTTCGGAGAACGACAACAGTTCTAATTCCTTTGCGAGAGAAGATGACGACGGCAAACCACTGGACTCGACGCGGGTCACTGCAGCCCAACCCTACCTGCAGACGTCGACTGCTGGACCCAGCCCCTCCACAGCTGCAATGCCTCCAGGCGGACAGATGCTTCACGAGCTACCAATGCGGAACTCGCACCAGGTTCAGCCGCATAATGGCATGCATGCTGATGCTGGTCCAGGTCCAGGTGTGGGTCACTCTCTGATGGATGGCAGTGTGGCAGTGAATGGGCCAACGAACTTGGGGCCACCATCGTCGGCCATCAATGTCAACATGATACCGAGCGCCCACGATGCCTCTCGGCGATCGTCAGTCTACGGAGATTATGGGAACGGCTTGTATCAGCAACACTGGCAGTCCTTCACCACGAGCGCTGAGGGACAGCCCATGTACTACACCCACCATGCGAACCCAGGCGCCGCTCAGGGCTTTTCTCGGCATCTACCCGTCCGCTGGGTCTGCCCACCCTCTTCTTCACGGCAACGAAAATACAGAAGCGCCAGCATGTCAACAATATTGGTATGAGGCGTGCTGTGACGTTAGGTGCCTCGCTGACTACTGCAGACGCACGGCAGGCTGTCACGCCGACCATCAATGATCTATTTCACGCAGACGGCGCAGGAGAAAGCTATGTACGTTGACCACATATTCGAGGAAAGCAGCTGACAGACGCCTTACTAGCAGATCTTCTATATGTCTATTTACAACGGCATTGAAATAGAAACAGAGACCTCGAGCCACGGACGCTTCACGATCCACCCAGGGGTGCCTAACGTCTGGGAGATCCTCAGCGCAGAAGCTAATTTAAGAGAACAGCAGGTGTCAGAGGGCCGGACGACCACCGACGCGGTGTAGGAAAGCTCGGCGCTAGACACATCCCGAACCGGTATAAGGAATCATGGTATGGTTAAAAAAGAGCGGACCCTGGCAGTTAGCGAGTCAATTCTAATCCTCGGCCCTGCATAGTAGCTTTGCTAACAGCGTTTAGTCTCGGCCAAGGGAGCGTTGCGTGACGAGGTCCGCCTTTCTCTTCGCGTATTTCTTTCAAGGGGGTTCAAGTTACAAGATCTTGATTTTCAGCCTGTTTGATACTATGGGTGGTTATCAGGCAGATTTACCTAGTATCCGCACAGCTTCATACGGCATGACTATAGACGCTTTGCAAAGTCGCGCTTCCATGTAGCATGCCGTAGCATCGCGCGAGATCAGTCACAGTGAAACAGTACCTCGAGCATGCTTTGAAAATGGACAAGAATGATAATTATGCCGGTAGCTTTGCGTCATGCTCGAACAGCCGCGAACCTCACTAGCTTTGTGTGCTTCGAGGGCCGATAGTCGCGTTTCGAGCACAACTTACCATGAGACTAGACTCAGGGCCGACGTAAACAACCATCCTAACGCCACCACAATCTGGGAGCAATGCACCCCTGCCATGCCGTCACGGTAGGATATCGAAGGCTGTGAAAAGAAGGGCTTTGGAAATTATCCGGATGCTCCTCGCCCAGCACCCGCTGTGTTGTCTCCATCACCTGCAGCTCTAGCGACTCTGCCTCTGTCCATCGGCCCTGGTTCCAGTATGTCGACGCCAGGTTGGCCTTACTGATTAGTGCATCCGGATGCTCTTCGCCCAGTACCCGTTGTCTCGTCTCCATCACCTGCACCTGTAGCGACTCTGCCTCTGTCCATCTTCCCTGGCTGCTGTATGTCGACGCTAGGTTGGTCATGCTGGATAGTGTATCCGGATGCTCCTCGCCCAGCACCAGTTGTCTCGTATCAACAGCTTCATCAAGGTATTTCTCGGCAATGTCCCAGTGGCCTTGAAACAGGGACATCCCGCTCATTTTGTGAAGAAGGGACGCCATCTTTAACTCCGCATCCCCTTCTTTCTTGTTCTTCGTTGCCAATACAGCATTGGCATGCGGCAAATACTGCAGACACAGATCTCGGTTCTCGAATCCACCGTACGGAAAGGCATTGGATACCACTTCAAGCGCACCCTGTGCGAAGTGTCCCATTTTCCCTCTCATGACAAGCCATTTGCGCGTCACAAGCTGGACCAAACGATGCATATCGACGGTCTTGTCCTTTCCCTTTGATATGAAGGAGAACGCCTGCAGAGTACCCAGTGCTTTGGCCACCGCCGCCAAATCGCTTCCCTCCGTTGGTTGAGCAGGCCGCGCAAGGACGTAATAATCCTTCAAAAAGCTTTCTGGTATACTCTGCCGATCTAAGAGGCTGACCATAGAAAGCACCGAGCTTGCAAAAGCGTGCTGCTTTTCGATCTGCTCAAATGATATGATCCAAGTCGCCGTCACGGCATGTGGGGTATCGGACCCCCCTCCGAACGCTTCAAAAGGCTCGCTCAGGCGATCTATCAAGCCTTCATCGCTCTCATCTAGCAGCTGTATGTAGTCATCAATGGTTGTGCTATTCTCTTCGATAAAGGCCGTTGCTTGCGCAAGTGCGAGCGGTATATGTTCTAGCCGAGCCGCCAACGGTGTTGTAGTCTCGATTAGAAGTTCGTCATCCCCCGTGGCAACACGGACAAGCTGTAAGGCTTCCATGTCCGTCATACTCCCTACCCCTATTGGGGGCTTGCCAGGCGCCAGCCGACTTGCTGTCTGCTTGTTTCGGCTGGTGATAAGAACCGACCCATGCGGACACATCGGTACGAAGCGGCCCAGCTGACCTGCTCCAATTGCAGGAGCTGAAGGGTGCGTATTGTCCTGCTGCAGTGTCTGGAAGAAGAGCTCGGTATCGTCCGCATTGTCGATTACCATGAGCCATCGACCCCGATACGTCCTCTCCAACCAGGTTCTTACCAAGGACAGTGTATCCGCATTGGGGTCGTCGTATCCCGGGATTTTACAGTCTCGGGCGATGAACGTATAGCTGTCCAAGAATCGTTCAGCGCTGCTTGCATGGACCCAGAACACTGACACTTCGGGGCATGTATTCTGTAGCCAGTATACGTACGACAGCGCGATTTGCGTTTTTCCAACCCATTGATGAGGCACTGGTCTCTTCATTTTTAGGTGGATCGCTTACCCAACACCTCCAAGACCATATAGAGCCACTCTCGACCTCGACTTCGCCACATTGGTGCCAAAGCCAAGCTGTGAAGTAAGGGTCCTGAGGTGGGAGACTCTCTGCACAAACCCTTCGTTCTCGGGGTACGGAACCAGAACTAATGGTCGATTAGTACACAACGCCGACGAGACGAATCATCACATACACCATGGACCCATACTTGTCTGGGTCACGACTAACTTAAGTTAGCTCGTGAACTCAAATAAACCCTCAATTACGCACTTTCAGTCGGCACCCATTCTTGAAGGAAGCCTTTCGTGCATGCTGCTGCTGCAGCCGCAGCATATCGCTGCCATAACTTATTCTTGTGGTTGTCGGCGTAGTCACATGCCCCCTTCAACACCACGCACGGGAAGCTGTCCCACGCGCCAGCGCCCTCCATCTCGAATGCGATCACGTCTTCTTTCTTGGCAACCCTGTCGCGGTCTCTTCCCGATCTCATCACAGAGTTTCCAGAGGCAATAAGCCCAAAGTGCACCGTGGGACTCGGGTCGGCCAGGTGGGCTAGTAGGCGGTGACGTGTCACAAAATGACCGTCGCAGCCAAGCTCATCACACGTATTGCCATCATCCTGGTGCTTGTACTCGGGCTCAAACAGCCTGTCGTGTGCCTTGCCGGGGTACACGGCGCATAGCTTCGGTCTTTGTTGAAGCATGCTCAGGTGACTGGCTGTGCGCTTCTCAAGCTGCTCCCGGCCTCGTAAGCCTCTCAATTTCGCCAGCACGGCTCGAACATCGGCTGGAGGTCTCCCAAAGCTATCCAGGAGGGTACTTTTGCGCTCGAAGTGCCCATCGATCTGCCGTCCGAAATCGTATTGCACCACGCCTTCACTAATGATGATGTCGCCCAGTACTCTCTCCTCGTCACCACTGCCTGGAACGACCCCACAGATTCCGACGACGAGCCCGAGACTGATGTTGGGAAAGCTCGTTTTGCAAGCGCTCGCGACGGATGCGGCGCTGGCTACGCCTATACCCGGCATATGTGACAGAACGACGTTATGGCGACCGATAACACCCGTCGAATAAGCGTTGGGGTCGCCAGGTGTCTTGTTGAACGACAGCCTGTCATCGTCCCAGTGGAAGTCGAAGACAGCATCGACAGCATCAGCTTCGAGTGGTATGGCGCAGAGGATGGCAATGTGGAAATCGTTGCGCGAGTTAGGGCGAGGCGGTCGGTCGCTGCCGGGGCATGTGGCCATGCCGGGAGTTTGCGATGATGCAACCCAAAAATGTCTCAAGGATCTATTCGACTGTGCTTCTGCGAAGGGATTGTCCGTTCCTCGTATTTGTAGAAATCAGTGATGGAGCAGATCAATCGAGGCAGAGCGGGGGTGTCTTGCCAGCCTGATTCACGTTACACAAAAAAAGCACAGCCCAGCAACAAGCGCGTGTGCCGCCAATCGGGGGCTTAGCCTGCCTCGCCGCGATGCTTGCGGTGTTGCATGTGGTGAATGAGTCTTCGAGACATGATGCATTACTGCCGTGAGGCATGGGGAGTTTGCTCGATCAGAATATAATAGTTATTAAACCCTACGATATTATATTACTTTTAGGACTTAGTTATAATAATACCGAAGGAAAGCCTAGGCGCCTCTCTTAGATCGATATTATTTATTAAGTAAGGTATAGGATAGTAGTCTAAAATACTATAGCGTATTAGAAACCCTGCCTTATAAGGATACTATAGATATAAAGTACAGTCTTAAGTATATAGTAAGGTCGAAATAGGTACTAGAAACCTTCCTTTTTAGATAACCTTAACTCGGGGTAAGGATTCGTAAGTATTATATTTAAGCTTTTAAGACGATTTTAAATCCACCTCTTAGATAGGACGATCCGGGGTTAGATTAATCTTAGATCGGGTTCTCCGATATATTATTAAGTCTAACGGTTATAAAACATTACTTTCACTAGAACTATTAATTCACTAGACTTTAATTTAAGTATAAGGATCGGTAAAATAGCTCGGAGAGTATACTCTCCGCTTTAAGTATACCTTTTATAACTACTTATTTCTAGCCCTTTTACTCGGTTAATCAAGTCTGCGGAAACTTTTTCTCCTAGTTAGAAACTAAGGCCCGGTCACTGTTGTCCGGCTAGCTCTTAGTTTCGATAGTAACTTAGCTTGCAGCCTGGTTTCGAGAACGGTAGCCCGAGCCTTCCTTTACTAAAGTAACTAGCCAGCCCAACGCTAGGCTACCAAGGGCTAAGTCGTCCTTCGGTGGCACGAATTCATAAACATCACGGATACCGGCTACCATGGTGTGCAGCCCAGCGAGCACAGCAGCTGACCCCAAGGACGCGACATGTTTTAGCAAAGTCAAGTCGTTTCAGCACGATAGCAGCAAGAGAGTAGTACCTCAGATCACTTCAGCCGACCTGAACGTGTTCGAAACAAAAGCAAGGCCGATCGGAGCCCCTGAGTTCAACGACCTCGGCGACCATCATAATCCACGTAACCGCTGCCACGGAGTATTCTGTAGCTAGCGCGTCGGGATTTGCAGGAAGGTGGTACCATACAGGAATACAGACCTCACCCCGATCCGATTGGTGTCGCCCGCATTTCGGACGAAGCACTCAATTTCACAAGATCAAATCTCGCTGTGTAAATAAAACCACGGTCTTTCTGAGACAGACTACTGATTCATACCGTGATCATCGGGTCAGCTACACCTAGCCAGCCAAATTTGTGGAACGAAAGACCTACTGCTCCTGGTCATGCGATATACCAGGATAGAAACACCGACGATGGCCAGGCTGAGACAAGCATGGGCGCCATGTAACCGGCCCAATGTAACCAAAAAGTGCAATTACAACCAAAATATCAAGTCAGCCGCCTCAGCGCAATGACTTGCCAAGATCCAGCATGGTACTAATATCAGAATGGTTTGGCCGTGTTGCAACATCGCCAAAATCTCATCAAAGTGCAGTTTTGGTTACGCCATCTCCTAAATCTGGCAAAATGGGAAGCCATCTAGCTGCCCCGCGCGGCCGCTCGAGCGTCCGCCCTTTGTGTCGGCGATACGGCCCTCGTACTTTTGGGAGTACTTATTTATTTCGGTATGCCCGTTTCGCTAGGGTGGTCACGGGACGCTACATGTATGGAGCTGAAATCAATAGCGTGTTACTAGCGTGGTTCGATAAGTGCTAGCGTAAGATACGGGGTACTCCGGACACCAGGTGGGCGATATTTAAAAAAAACCAAGTGCCCGCCTTACCTACCATTTCGCCGTCCAGTGAACCTCGGTAGTGAAACCATAATGGCTTTGCAAACGACATTGACCGACAACACCCAGGATGTTCGCGGCGCCGGGGTCGCGGCGGCGGTTCCATTAACCACTGTATGGACAGCACCATCCGTCTGTGCATCGACTTTCATCATCGACAACCCAAACTATGACATATGTACCCCTCCCGGATACTCTAATGCTTGGGATCACGGAGGGTATTATTCCCCTGGCGTATGCCCGCATGGATCCACCGTTGGATGCACGTATGTCGGAACGACGATTCGGCTCAACGACAACACACTGCGGGAGAGTGAAACTGCCGGCTTATGCGTACCGAGGTAGGCCCCCTTCGTTCTGGAAGCTCACGCAGCTTGCTGGTGTTGTTTACGGGTCTGACGGCGTGAATAGTTCGTGGCTCTGCTGGGAAGATGGGAACTCTTCGTCCGGGACTTGGCAGGTAATTGAAGCAAAGTTTGCGAGCACGACGGGGATGAGCGACGATATTCCAATTGGGTCAAAAGCGCCGGCGTGGGAGATCAGATGGCAGGTTTCCGACCTCGCAATCCTCGAGACGGCTCCCCTCCCAAACCTTGAGTCTTCCACTACTGGCGATCAATCTGTTTCCCCCACCGACGACGACTCTGCTGTGACGGTTACCGTCATATCCGATTCTGGGGACGGCGGATTGTCAAAGGGGGCGGTGGCGGGAATCGTGGTCAGCGCATGCGTCTTGCTCGCGGCTGTTCTGGGAGCGGTTTTCTATTGGCGGAGGTACAAGTCCAAGAAGGCCAAATCAACGTTTGCGGAGGAGTCTGGACAGAAGGCTGCTGCAATGGAGCCGTACGTGCCTCCAAACAGTGTTCATGAGAAGGATGGGTATGTTGCGGCGGCGGCGACGAATCCTAGGCACATGTACCGGGAAAACGATGGACATGGCCCAAGTGCTCACGAGATTGGACAAGCGGAGAAACCCACGGCGGAACTTGGTGTCAACCAAGGTCCGGGTTCCTGGGGTCGCCATGAACTGGACTCACACAACCCAAACACATCGAACCTATCAGAGCTTCCGCATTAAGTCGTCTCCTAGCAATATTGCTAACGTAAATTTATGTTTTCTAGAACTTCCTTTCTTTCTAGTACCCTGTGTGAGAGTTATTTCGCACTAACTAAATTTATTACTTACTTTAATTCGAGGTACTATTCCACGTCGCGATTTCATTAAGATCCGGATAGCACAGCAGTCACAAGGCTCGTAACGATTACTAGTGCATTATCAAGGCTCTAAAGCTTAGATTTCATATTTTTATTAATTTTATAAGCGATAAGAGCGTAATAGTGGAAGCATATAGACAGAACTCTCTCTTACACGTAAAGGAGGCGTTTAATAAATTAAGCGCAAAGACAATAACCACAAGGTTATTTTCAATTCAGAGAGCTCTAATACATTTTAAAAAGGATAGAAAATCGTGTTAGTTATATTAAATTTTAAGAGATATCCCGATATATGGGAATTTTAGCTTATTCGAAGTTAAAGTACCTATCGTATTTTCCGGCACGTAGGGTCGGCACGTAGGGTTTTCCGGTATACAGGGATAGACGTTAGTCTATCTCTTAATCTACGGAATTAAGTATCGCTACTAATTAACTTCTTTATTATATATATATTTACGTAAGGAGGCGGCCTAGAGAACCACGTAGTTAACGATATACTACTAGCTATAGAGCGTTATTACTCCGGTAATAAGGGTATAAGGGAATACGAATCGTTCGTTAGCCGTAATATGCTAGATAACGCTAGCGTATCGCTAGTATTAGACTGTAAATAGATAATATAGGAGCTATTAGTATTTAATAGTCGGAATAAGAATAACCTAGCGGGTAACGAGATCGCCGGGGCTTTACCTAGCTCAGCGTCGCTATTTCGGGATAAAAGCGACCTAGAGGGCGATAAGATTACTATAGCTTTTCCGGGCGTAAAGCTAGTATTTTAATAATTACAGGCTTCGCGATAATAGTATTTATATTATGCATAAGGCGTGTGGCGGTCGCTAGCCGTGAATGTGGTGGTAGAGCCAAAACATCATCTTCGAAGACTATATCGGCGGGCTGTTAGCAAACCGTAGGGCTGCTCTAATTGACAAAGCCCTGCTACCGTCACTATCGCTTGTATTACTCAGAAATTAAAGTAACTAAGTCGCTGAGAGGCCTTGATTAATTAAATCTATATAATCATTAATATTTATGCGTGGCGGTATCTAAAAAATTAAGACCATTGCGAAGGTGCGTGTGTGTATTTGTGCATTGAACCAGTTGGCAGTTGTTCATCTAATATCCCACCGTACACGGGGTCCCCTATGTAGATAGGCAGATAGATACCTGCAGCGCTAGTGATTCTGATGGCTCACACGCGTGTGCAACGACGAGCAACAGGGGTCTCATGCAGCGTCCACACCCTCACGGAAGTGCTGGCCGACGCTGCTACCCGGCTTGCCTATTGAGGTAAGGGGGTGTTTGTTCTTGCCGAGCCATCACACCCTCTCAATTCTAGTCTCGTGTGATGGCTGCCACACGGCAAGATATCCCCAGGCAAGTACCCGCAATAATGGCGGAGCCGCCACACCCTCTCGTCTCAAGTCTTGTGTGATGGTCAATTATGGCTGCCACACTGGAAGGACATCAATCATGGGTAGAACCAGAATCAAATGGTCACCTGCGAGTAGCGAGAACGAGCTAATACAGAAGGCAAAGGAAGAAGCTAGGAAGACGACGAGAGAAGACGTCACCCGGTCGGAGCAGCTCCCTGCTATGAAACTAATAAGCCTAAACATGGCCCGACAGAAGCAACCTGCGACCAACTGCCTGCCCGACAACTGGAGACGTCCAGCCTACACAAAGCGTGGCGTGGAGGAGATCGACGAAGCCCAATCTCAACAATATTAGGGTTGTATGGGCAGACTTCCCTGATGGCTCAGACCACCCTACCCCTCACGTTAGGATATGCCCTATTCAAGGAAATTCCCGAAGGACAAACGACGCTATAAACGGTAACCATTATCGACAAAATCATAGCTGTCTTCTACTTCCACCAGGAGCCGTCTGTGAGATCTCACCTATTCGAAACCTCTGCCCTTTCATGCCATATATTGATTTGGGTGACGGGAAGCTTTAGGAATGCGAGGTTATTGATCCCTTAAATCGAGGTAGTGTGAAAGATAAGTTTGCTCTTCTTATCGAGTTCTCGTGCTACGGGGCGTAAGATAATCTAACTCGACCTCTTGGTTTGGATGTGTGTCGTATTTTACAGGGTATTCTATTATAGATGGTAACTATCGTGAATAGATGAGTATTCTCTCAGTACCATGTCACGTATCGAAGCGGCAAAAGTGGACCATGCAGCCCACCGCCACCATCGGCAAAGTAGCAGTTGATCGGAGGGTTGTGGCTGTAATCAACCAGGCCACAAGGTAAGTAGCTGATCTGGGCCGGGCACTTGGACGACATGAGAGCGCCTCGATTGGTGGACTGATCGGACATGATATCTAGACGGTCCCTGGGTCTTGGATGGGTACTTGAGCAAGTGTGTTACGGTCCAGTCTACCCCCTATATGCAGCTATTACGCCTGAATTGATCGCTCGTCATTCGATCAACGCCTGATCTTTTTGCACATGGCGCAACGGCTTAGGCGTAGTCATTAAAAATCCTCCATCTCTTTAAACCAATCCCATCCAGCCTCACCACGTCTCAGTGCTTGTAAACCGTAGTAACATCAGAGTATAACTTACATGGATTTCTTCTCGCAGGATTTCAATCTCAACTTAAACCTATGGAGCATGGTAAAGAGTGCGCATACACCTACCCAGCCAGTCGCCATATCCTTGTATGCCCTGTAAGCAGTGATGCGTGTCAAGAAGCGAGCCGACGAAGAACCTTTTAACTTAAGTCGCTGCTCGAAGATAGATCTTTTTTTCTAGTTCGTGCGCTCTTTTAGTCTATATGAAGATTACCGGGACGTTACTGATCTTGATATTGCTAGGGAAAAGTTAGCCTTAAAGCTTTCCATAGTCGTTAAGATAACTCAGATCTAAGTCAAATATAAGATAAACATCCCAGCTACTCTCTGAGTTCTCGGAGCCTAAGGTTGCCTCGTGGTTAATAGACAGCATAGGGATAACTATAATCCCTCGAATATCTCGGGGTCGTCGTTTGTAGTTCAAGATAGACGATAAATGAGAGAAGGTCACTCAGCAAAGTAGGCATAGACTTACATTTATACCCACCTACTAGCCAATACTCAGAGGGGTACGAGTACAGGCAATACCATAGGCTAAAGAAAGGTCAAGACAGAGGACTAGTAGATACTTCAATCATTATAGCAGATAAGCTTTGGCGCAGCAGCAGGGCAGCAGGCAGCAACTATATCGACATCCTCCGGTGGATATTATCATCCGCCTAGGTCGCGGGTCCTCTCCGCTCTCCATCATACCTGAGGCCTCAAGTAGTACAACGGCACTCACGAGATCTGGCATCTAATAGTATTACAACGGAAGGGTGTCTGGGTATTTAGGCTTCGCAGCTCCACTAGATTTCAAGGCATCCTCCCGTCTTTATCCGCGTTCCCGTAGCTATTCTCGTCGTTTTATCGCTAAAGGAAGTCAGCGAAAACTTTATAGTTCGGCACCGCTAAACATACCCCAAGCGCGCGCCTAGCTTTACACCGAAGGATAAACCCAGCTATACAAGGCAGCCCTCTCCGGATACCGACGTGCGAGACCGACGTCTTCATCCGGCGGCGCTTACGCGCCTTTGAGATTAAATTACAAAGGTTTCGTAACGTCTCTCTTACCGAAGAGAAGGAAACCCTCGGCGTCCCATAAAGGGATATACATATTAGTCCGGTAGTAGCATCCTTAGAGGCAAGGAATAGTTCGTTCCTACCGGAAGGTCATCGCAAAGGCGTCTCTAACTTTATTCCAAGACCACTTTATCTCGTAACGGGCATAGATAATGAAGTCGGACTGCTCGACTGTGTACCTTATCCCATACGCTAGGGAACGACCGCGGCGCAGAGACTTTTTCCGCTTTTTAAGCAATTAGACGCCTGCATCAAATTCGGCAAGGCTTAGAAGCCGACCAGGCAAGAAACTACTCATTGCGTGGGTTTTTAGGTGGAGAATTGTCGTCGCTCATAGACCGGCCCTATATAGTCTGGCTAGACAGACAATGGCAAGTCGCAAGCCTGACCAGAATTAAATAGTATCAAGCAAAATGCCCCGGGGTGTGCTCCCTGGGTCCATCCGTTTATGGCCGCTCCTTGAGTATGACGCGCGGTCTTGGTACAAGGAAGCAGGCTGATGCGGACAATGAGCGGACATGTCATCAGTGAGTCGACGATCGGATATTTCAGCATTCTTCATAGTCAACGGCCACTTTGTAAGCAATCGGCCGCCGCTGGAAGCTCCCAGCCTCCTTGGACTTAGTTAAGATCGAGCCTGGTGACCGAAACGTGCCGCATTCTCCCTCGTCCAGAAGGTCGTCGGTGCCTGCGTGCTTGTTGTGGACCACCACTTCCATGAAGCTCGGGCACTTCCAATCATTCACTGATGCTTGAGGAAACCCGATGCGGACACCGCTCATCGTGGGGCTGTGGGATGAAACGGCTTTTCCGGCCGGTAGGGGTAGGGTCAAGTCCCAACCGGCCACATCCTGCCTTGCGTCCGTTCGCTGCAGATCTCACCATAAGGGGGCAACCACGCGGACAGCTGTGGTAATGGCCCACGAAAACAGTATAGTGGATTCTTTTCACGGCGAAACTGGGTTCAGATTGTCTGACTGTGCTCCTTTAGATGTGGCCCTTTCTTGCTTTCGTTCACCCACATTGCAGCGGGGGTCATCCGGTCGGAGGATTACTAGAGTCACAGATGAATACGGTACGTATCATAAGATGCTGAACGATTGGCCGAGCTAGATGTAGCCGGACCACCTGCGCCTGTGATTCGGCCCGTGCAGACAGCGTACTTCACGAATGAGATACGGTTATCACCACGGCCCTAGATTGCACCGCGATACGGTGCACACAAGGTCCGGATAACTCGAAAAGAGGGATCAACCGCTTCCCTACGCTCCTGTCCCTATAGCACATGAACAAGCACATAATCGCCCTTGAGTATCTCACTCCGGGGGAACGCAGCCCTACACTTTGGACACCCATTGCCTGAGTCGAGCGATAGCATTAGGCAACTCTCGCAATAGCAGTGGCCGCAGGGTGTAAAGGCTGGAGAGCACGTGAGCCCGCCCCCGAGGCATATTTGGCATATCTTGTCATCTCAGTTATACTGTCTGATCCAGGACTGTTTCACCCTCCGCCGGCGCTTTGTCGCCACGCACTGGTGACAGTAGAGCTGGAACACGTTAGAGAAAGCTTGGTCGCCAAAGGCAGCGAGGTCTTCGCGAAGGTGACGAGGGATTGAAGCCGAAGGGCACTCACGACCGTGACGCTGCGCAATCGTGTCAGCGACAAGCCGTCCGAGTCTACACGGACGACTCACAAGATCCCAACGCAGAACATCAGGCCTACGCCAATCTTTTTCTTCCGATGGAGCCGCAGAGTGCGCAGCTGCCAGAGCGGCACCGCCAGGAGCCATAGGTCGAGGGCAATGTTCGTCGCAGCGCTGGCCCAGGCCACGGCATTCGCATCCACACAGGAGCCCTGATGCATCCCATCCCAGTGCTTCCAGAAGTGATCGATAGGTCGGCACTAGAATACAGCCACGAAGATAAATGTCGCACCCCAGATGCACGTCACAGCGAACGTGCCCCAGAGTAGCCTCTGTACAGCGACAGTGGGGAAAATGCGGAGGTAGAAGACGATGACGGACAACTTCACCAGTGCAGTGTCCAGGAAGTACAGCCATGCTATCGTATGAGCCGGGGGAAGACGAGGCTACGGACCCGGCCCCTATCTATATCAGCTCGAAGGGGAGAAACGAGTACACGGGGACTAACGAATACACAGGGACTAACGAGTACACGGGGCCGGATGAGGTACTTCGTCGGGCCGTGCTCGACGAAGAGACGCTTAGTCGGTTTGAGGCCCGGCTCGAGGCGATGCGTGGCTGCTACCTGCTCTGCCGTATCGAGGGGGGAAGGCCGTTTAAACACGCCGCTGCTACGTGTGGCCGGCGGTGGCCGTGGATCCGGGCCAAGGAGAAGACAATCCGGGCCTGCAAGGACGAGGGCAAGCCGTGGATGGCCAAGTTCACGGCGTGTTATCGCTGCTATCTCCCCCAGGCGATCTGCACCATGGCCGATCCGGAGGCAAGGGCTGCCACGAACGAGAGCGCGGAGTGTCGGTTCCGCGATATGATCATACCACGGGGTCGGGCGGGTCGTTGAAATCGCTTGACGCCTAGACAGCTGAGCCAGATGTAGCATGCTATCATGATCAGGGTTCCTATAGTGCACCATGGAGTGCAAGAAATTCGTAGGTAGTCGGAGAGGGTATCTACCAAGACTTTTATTGATGCGAAGATGAGTTGAGAACGGAAGAAGGCGGTCGAAGCCGAAGATGTTGAATCACCAGTGTCGACGAGGACGCCTAAGTTAGAGGCCGGAGGCCTCAGAACGGCCCCGTCAAGCTCGTTGATCCAAGCCATCGCGAGCTCCAGGTAATCATGCAATTCCCGATGGCGAGGCGTCCAGCCTGTGGGTGCGGCCGAGCAGTACTCGGACAATTTCCGGGAAGAGATCGTCTCTGACCCAGGCGGGCCCCTTATGAAGTCATCGATATTAAAGTTCTCGAAAAAGAACTCTCGTAGCAATCCAAAACACAGCCATGACTGGATAATATATTGGAACCACGCTGGATCGCTGTTCTGCAGATCGAGTAGACGCTGGAGATTTAGGCAGCCATACTCATCTCCCGCCGCAGGGAACGCGGCCGTGTGAGGGATATAGCCCACAAACGGCACCGCGGGTGGCCCATTGCCGTTATCGATGCGTTACGGTAGTCCGAGAATTTCGGGAACGTGAGTCATTCTGCTTCAAAGGTGGTCATAAGCTAACGATATCGCTGGCTCGGTCTGGAGGAGGGTAAGATTGTTGAAGCTAACTATTGATTCTAAAGTCGGACTTAGCATTGTCACCGCGAATGATAAGGCAAATGCGACACGCCACGGAATTTATCTCCTCCCTCACCAAGAGGTGGTATAGAGAGGCGTGGGTGGCTTCTTTGTTGAAGAAGCAACGGCGCGTGCATGATGGGTTTTTAGCTCCTTGTTCATTAGGACGAGGCTCTGGCGCTCTCTTTTCTGCAAGGCACACGTCATTGGTAGCCACGTCGGGAGCGCTTCATGTGCCGCATAAGGCAGCCGGATCGACGCACAAGGCTTCTCCTCCGTACCCGTGCTCCATGGTCAGTTATCTCTGTTGGGGTTCGGGCTTGCTAAGCAGCTGAGCCGGGAAGATAAGGGCTGTGTAGAGGAAAGAGGCGACTAGGGAAGAGGCAAGTACTTCTTTGAGCAGGTGCCTAAGCAGACAACCTGAACACAGCCTGCGTCCTAGACGCTCCGCCACCGGACGCCTAAGACAGCCACGCATGCGCCAAGAAGCGGCCCAATATGCATAAATCAGCTAACCTATGACTGACCTATGGCTATGTGAGTCGAAGGAGCTAGCCGAACGAGAACTAAAAGTATAATTGCTAGCTAAGGGCTGTTTACAAGCTCCAATCCGATCGACGCCCACTTCTTCCCTCCACCTTAAATCGTTCAGGAACACCTCGCTTCGCGAACGACACCCGATCTAATCCCAGAAGAATTTATGCGACACATATTCAGCGACTTGTCCCTCAATCAACGACTTTAGCAGACCACATAACAGACTTCGTAGCGCGACAGACGAAAAACCGCTATCATGAATCTAGGCCGCTTCGGAAAACTCACCATTATCTACTCATTTGCGGCGTTGCTCTTGATCATTGAGCTTGGTCTCACCGCCTATGGTATGTAGGCCAGTCTCATCCTCTCCCCAAGCATGCTAATAGTGCGCTAGTCGTGGGCCAGACTTACTGGTGGGGTGAATCGCCCTCGCAGTTCGCTTTCATGCTCTTCACCACCGTTTGGTCCATCCTTATCCTCATCTACATTGCTATCACGCCTGCTGTGGCTTCCTCGCTATATATACCCGTCGCAGCCCTAGCCCTGCTCGCTCTCACGGCCCTCTTCTGGTTCGCCGGTAGTATTGCTATGGCTGTCCTCGTGGGCATCCCCGACTGCAACGGTAACAACTTCTGCCAGAGCGCGCAGGCCGGTGTCGTTTTTGGCTTCTTCAACTGGATTGTGTTCACGGGTCTGGCCATCCGGGAGGGCATGGGCTTCGCGCTCGGTCGTAGCACGTCGACCGCTAAGCCCACGCCTTACGCTAGCGCTTCATTGATACAACAGACAACAGCTACGAACGAAGACGACAGACGAACACGAACACGATGGTACATGAGCGCACGGAATATGTTGTCTTGGGTAGGAGAGGCAATACTAATAGCCGGTGGCGACGAATAATTATAGGGGGAAAAACGGGGTTAGGTATTGGGTTAGGGCTAAACAATCTCGACAGTCTTTTTTTTCCCCTCTATATTCTAGCGAAAGCTATGTTCTACGTTCTGACCCTCTTCATTCCATACCCAGCCTTTTTTTACCCAATTGTCATGGAATTCCGCTAGTTCGCTGAACTGGCTTGTTTTGAGATGGCAAGAGAGCGCTTCGCCGTGAAGGTAGTGGTGCTCCGAAAACCAGGCAAGACAACGCGCCAACTTAGCTCACCAGGGGGATGGAGACCTATATCTCTCCTAAGCTGCGTGGGGAAGGCGGTAGAAGCTATCGTGACTAAGAAAATGACACAAATAGCGGAGGAGGCAGACGTTCTTCCCACGGAGCAGATAGGGAATAGGACGAGGAGGTCAACAGATCTAGCGGCTAGGTTCGCCACAGAGACAGTACGAGCCGCCTGGGAGAAGCGGCTAAGCTGCTCGATGCTCCAACTCGACCTCAAGGGCGCGTTCGACCGAGTCACCACGGGTGGCTGATCGCCACATTAAAAGACCAGGGGTGGCTGAGATGGGTGGTCCGATGGGTGACATCCTAGCGGACCGAACAGCGACTCTAACCTTTGACGAAGGGGAGGCGGAGGCATTGAAGGTGCCGGCCGGGGTGCCACAGGGTTCGCCCCTATCCCCTCTCCTATTCATCCTCTTTAGCACCCCACTCTTCCAGAGGCTAAGGGATATCGAAGAAGAAGAAACGGTAAGTTCGCAGACGACACGGACCTCCTAGCAGTGGGGAAAAGGACAGAAGATTGCTGCTCTGCTCTACAGCTGGGATGGGAGACATGCAGAGACTGGGCAAGAGAACGCGGCATGATATTCGAACCGCAAAAGAGCCAGCTAATGCACTTCGTCAAGACAAGGGCCGGCAACAACCAGGCCTTGACCCTAGACGACAATATAATCAAGCCGGCGGAAGAGACCAGGTTCCTAGGGGTCCACCTAGACCGAAGGCTGAACTTCATCGCCCATAAGAACCAGATACTGGCTAAACTAAGGACACAGCGGTTTGCACTGACTCGAATCGCGGCAAAGACATGGGGACCGTCCCTCCTTAAGGCTAGAGACGTCTACGTCTCGGTAATCCGAAGCGTATTAACATACGCAGCATCTACCTTTGCAACGATAGAAAACACCCTCGGAGGGAAGCAGGGAAGGGGCTCCGGCATCGTCCTCCAGCTAGGCAAGGAGCAGAACAAGTGTCTGCCCGTTGTGACAGGTGCATACCGCTCAACGCCAGTCAACGTTCTTGAAGCCGAAGCCCACTGCAAACCGATCAATCTTGTCCTAGCCGAGAGAGCGGCTGCATTCGAGGCGAGAGCCACGGGGGAAGGCGGCGTCTGGCCCGAGACATGGGATATGATTACGAGGCTGATTGCGAGGGCAAAGAGAGGGGAAAGAGGGCGAGAACGCGGAGTCCAACTACTAGATCCTATGAGACAGTGGGCGAGCTGGACGGCAGGCACAACCGCGAAGAAGAAGACAGAGGAACGATGGAGAGACCTCCAGCTACGTGAAGGAGTGCACCAGCGAAAACCGAGAGTCGGCGTACGATGGAAAACCGCGCGCAAGACCTGGGAACAGCTCACAAAACACGAATCTTCGTGCCTTGTACAAGCGAGGTCCGGGCATATCGGACTCAAGCAGTACCTGAGACGAATGCAGGTCCCAGATATCGAACCATGGTGCGCATGCAGAGGAGGCCAGGCAGTCCAGGAGACGGTCGCCCATATTATCCTCGACTGCGAACTAGAGGAGAACAGAACAGACCTCCCTCCCCTACGCGGAAGAGAGGACCTGCACGACGCTCTAGAAGACCCCAGACGATGTCCCCGTATCATCAAATGGCTCCTGGCCACGAGACGGCTACGAGAATATCGGCTGGTGCAAAAACTGCATACGACAGAACACGTCGACCACCACTGACGACAAGCACTAACTCCGCCCCCACGCATCATGCGACCACTCTTCCCCAACGGAGGCTCTAGCTAGAGAGTAAATTCTACGCTCTGATACCAAACAACGAAGTGTTTTTACCGCCAGACAGGCGGCTTTTCCCTGGGTATACTTCGAGGCTCGGACCAGAGATGTCCGAGATTAGTAACAGGTTAGCGCACACAGGACCCTCTGTAGGACGCATAATAGAATTTCTTCTTCTTCTTCTTCCCTTTCGTCGTTAGACATATGGCGTGCGGTGTCATCGCTGCGACCGCACGTGACTATAGGGTAGGGTGAAACAAGTACAGACCTAATAGAGCACATGGCAACTTAGTCCACGGGCATGATATTAGCAATTGAAGTGAATAAGAGAGTAGCAGAGGTGCTTAAAATAAAAAAGAGGATAAGCTCTTGCTTGAGTGCCCGTAGGCGCTTGCACGAAACAATCTTGTGTTCTTTGACCAGCTAATTATAAGCTGATTCAACGACTATCATCAAAACGACGATAGTTCCTAGCGGACCGACGATAACAAGCACGATGCTGGCCCAAAAGGGAGGCACGTCGATGATAAGAAACAGTGTTGATAGGAATTGGTATATTAGCTTTGCAGGCAAGACACAGATAGATACTGTGGTCCGGAAAGCCAAGTTTGTAAAAACTGGTACAGCGACAGCGAAAGTGTTGTAGTCAGGGTCGAATTGCTTAAAGTCGATAGACAATGGCAATGACGGGTTTAGGAGCTGAACTATGCTGGACAGACCGGTGAAAGGCAGTGTAAGCGGAATAAGGAAACCCTTGATTGCGGCCGTGATTAGCAGCACGAGGCCGCTAAACGGCGTTGTGTCGGGCTCCTTAGCAAGCTCATTTTGCGAAGCCGCACTAAACGAATGGCTCCGAACTTCGCAATGATTCTAGAATAGAGGCCTGGGCGTAGTAGTAGCCAAGGAGGAACAGGAGAAGGCCGGTCATAGGCGCCATAAATGTGATAGTCTGCCGGAACCTTACGCGATCCTGCGTCCACTGCGCCCTCTGATACTCGATGTATGCTCCTTGAATTTGTAGAGGAATCTCCTGAGCCTTTAGATTGTGCGCGTAGCCGGCGGTGTGTCCGTTAGCCAGTTGCTGAATCGTCTCATAGCTTATGTGGTATCCCTTGGCAAGATGCTGGATCGTCTCGTCCCTTGATTTGCGCGATACGGCCATTGCTTGAATGTCCTCGCCGTCAAAGACGACCCCATCGCGACGCGAAGTTCTATTGGCTGCCATGACGACGCTTTGCGCTGCAACAGCAACGCCTGGGGATCTTTTGATGCCGAGATCGGTCGCTTGCAGCTTGCTGAAGGATGATTTCGACCCTGGAATTGACGATAGGCCCTCCTCGCGGAAGGGAGATTTTCGGTATTGATTTCTTCTCCTATACATGTGCATCAACTGCCCGCCGAAAGCGATGGCACTTATGACAAAGGCGACCACTTCCATGAAACGGCGAGGATATTTAGCGTGTCGAGCTCTTAGGGTAAAAAGGTGAGTTAGGGGCAATGGAAGATTAGTGGCGCGAAGAGTTAAGCTTGATAACGATAAATGAGTGAAGGTACTTCTGTCCAAGAAGAAACGTGTGTAAGAAGTCGTGGATAGAGAAACGGCTGCTCGGAGGCAGGTTCGTGTCATATTATACGGGCTTGTTCTAGTGGCTGTGCAAACGAATGAGGACAAAAAGGTTCACGTAACTCCTCTACTGTGTTCCCACTCTGTACATTCGTTGTACTGTGCGGAATGACCCTGAAGAGAGAGAACTTGTTATTATAAACATGTGCAAGACCTGCAATGCCCACTTTGCAATCGGGCGGTGCGGCTAGTGCTGGATGTGCTGGCAGCCTGCCGCAGGTGCAGGACGGGACGGCTCGATATTCCGGGCCTCACTACACTTGCGAGGCGCTGGCAGTGCGTAATTAGCCATGGTCAGTGATATCTATTGTCAGCCGTTGTCGCGCGCGGACGACGCAGAACTCTCATCTCAATTTTAGCTTCAATAGTGCACATTTCTGAGGACCCGCGCTGAAAATATGGTCCATTCACCTTTACTTAAGTCAGCTATGCCGTAAGACCCGGCGCACGATATGCCACCATGAGTCTTAGTGAGCAGCTTTGTTTCTACTTGATTAGATGACCTAAGGCGCTGTGTTTCTTTGTGGCGTCGCGGCTGGCAGCACTTGCGACCGGTGGAGCCTGCTTCACAGGCTGCCACCGTGCCGTTTTTCATCTGAAATCGTCATCATTGGTGGAAAAGGACCTAGACTTTCAGGAAGTACTTGCAGGGTTCAAGGGCTCTATCTTACTAGCTGAACTGAGACATCGACTAGGTTTTTGTAAATAGTCTTTCACGCTTATCAGCCCAAGGCCATCTGTGACTGTCAAAATTGCCCGCAACCTCGTGTGAGTCAAGATTCGACTGAATTAACAAAACGTTCATGTGATGGGGAGGCAGCTGGGCTTGGCAGCTAGGTGTGACCGATATTCATTTTGAGACAATGTGCTGAATTGCGTGACGCGTCAATTTGGCCGTACTAGGATCAACCGCCTTACTCGTCAGGCCGGCCTATCAGGACTTATGTCCAAGTTCAAACGACCAGGTCTAGAACTTTCCATCATAACAGCTGTATATTCATCCGTGCATATCCATCCGTCACACCCTAATACAGGAGAAGAAAAGTTGCTTCACGATCTGATTAGTTACATTCAGCCATCGACTGCTTTCAGCCGGGGCAAAAGAGATCGGCAAGCCAGGTGTGGCGCAGTCCTCGGTACCCGGACTTCCCCACCCCGCCAGGAAGAAGAGCTGTCGACCGCATCCATTCTTGCTAGTTCTTGTCATGGGGGCTGGGCCCCTCCAATAGACCGATGAGAAGTTTGGTGAGCCACGTCCACTTCTGACTGGTTCTTACCAGGAGCCCCGGTCTGTCTCTTCACACCCCAATTAGCTTCGCTGATCGTCTCCTCTTCCAGCATTATTCTAGCCGGGGCCCCTGACTTGTTTCCTCCACCCTCAACTTATCTTCGCTTCGTTGGTCATCTTTCAATTTGATTCTACCCTGGTCGATGACCCTGGCCTGTCTACTCTGCACTTAACGTAGTTTCGTTGATCATACCTTTTTCATCTTCTACTTTCGTCAAATAGCCATGAAGAAATGCATGAGATTTAACAACTGTTGTTAGTGCTAGCAAGGCTATATCAATTGGCTGAGATTGTTTTCTGCGCCCACCCATAAGGCGCACGCCAGGGGCGATCGGGCAACTTGTCGATGCCGGGCAGACGAGGCAGACATGGGAATGAGCCGAGACACGTGTAGAGTCCCTCCGACCTCGTATACTCAGCACGAACAATCGATCATTTCCAAGTACGTAATGCTCCGCCCAGAGATTCACAGATTCGTAGTATTCCCTCAAAGAAGACTTAATATCACCCACCTCGTTCCCTATCTTGACTAGCATAGCCCGCGTGTGCTCGGCATGCTGTCTCGTCACGCGTTGTCGAGCATGCGCCGCTATCTTCAGCTCAAGAGGGCTCGGTACAAGCCATATGAGGGGCCCGCCTTCCCTAAACCAGCTCAGATAATACCACTATGGTTATAGATATTGATATTATCGCCATCCACGGCCTGAATACGAGGATACTAGTCACGGGACATGGCGGTGCTAGAGGACCCTGTTAGTGTGTATACGGTTAGAACAGGTACAGGACGGCTTTGTTTAGAAGAGCATGTTTAGAAGAGCATTGATGGTTATGCTTATTATTAGGCCCTGCTCGCGAATGTGGAAGACGCCCACTGGTGAGTCGTTATTGTTGACCGACCAATCCGAAGCATGACCGCCACAGCCCCTCATGTAGCACCCGGTGAAAGGCTGAATAGCTGAGAGACGGCTAGCCAAGCCCTCCTTTAGCTCTAACGGCTGAAGAACGCCAGCCCTACGGGTCCGCGGAGAAGCCGGGGTCCATGGCATCACCGCACATGTTTTGGGACTTACTCCTCAGCGGCGTGGTCTTGTGTTACGCCGGCCTCTAGCGATGCCCTCATGTCCGGGGACGATCGTGACGTCGATTTTGGGCGTGACGAATCTTAAGGAAATATGGACTAGATAACTAGTAGTTCTTAACTAGGCATATCTCACCTCATAATATTCCAGGCATCGCTAGCCGCACTAAGGCGAAGACGCACCGCCTCCCCACTAGACAATGATCGTCCTGGCCTGCATGAGCTGAGGCGCCATCCTTATCGCTGACTCGATACCCTGGTCTGTTAGATTGAACCGCCCAGGCACTTGGAAAACAGCGTCCTCGATTGTATTTATTTGTCGCCGCGCCCCCCTCTGAAATGGTTAGAATAGTCGATAAGTCAAGCTATCCTTTCTCTACTTTCAATTACCTCTCAGCCCCTCTCAAGACAGACGAGACCTGGCCACCGACACGATTATGAAGTACCAAATCAGCACCTGCCTTATAACAGCCTTTCTCCACCTAGCCGCGGCTATGGATCCCTTCGCGGCCCAAAGGATCGCCCACGGGCTCATAGACCCCTCGGGAATCCCCCAGCTTCTGCACGTCGGCGGTCCCCGCCTCGTCCGCCACGCTCCGCAGTTGCACGACCGTCAAGCTGGGGATACCTGCGGTATCTCTGAAAAGGAGTGTGGTGACGGCTGTATCCCCTTGGGTGGCCGATGCTGCGACAATAACGGGAACTGGTGTGAGATGAGCACGGTGTGCGACAACGGCGGCTGCTGCCCCGTAGGAGAAACCTGCACTGCCGTCCCGGACGGCTGCTCCGATAGCATGGAGGAATGCGGCAATGGCTGCATGCCGGCGGGCGCCTTGTGCTGCTCCGGATACTACTGCGACGCTGGCGAGATGTGTGCGGGGGACGGGATCTGTTTGGTGGACGACAATATCGATGGCGGCGACGTCGATGGAGGTGATGGTAGCGACGTCGATGGAGGTGATGGTAGCGACGTCGATGGAGGTGATGGTAGCGACGTCGATGGAGGTGATGGCGGCGACGAAGATAGTGGCGGGCGCACGCTAGTTCTAGACGCGGCGTGGCTAGCGGTGTCGCTCTTTGTCTTCCTCTAGACTAGGCGATTATATTAAAGACTAAGCTATCTGGGTTGTTGATGGTCAACCTCGCGGACAGTGCTTCGACGCTGCAATTCAGGAGGCGATCAATTACGTAAGACAGTGAGATATAGGGGTTACGTTTGCTGATTAGTTTGCATGTCTTTGATTTATTTTGATTCGGGTAGCTGGACTCCCAGGCGATAGTACACGTGGGCTGAATCTCATTCTTATTGTTTTTTGAACGTTCTCTCGTGATCAATGTGCTGCCCAGACTTCACAAATATTGATTCATCATATGCTGCGTGCCCGGTGAGATACCTCTGCGAACGGACCCTTCTCCATCGAGATCAAGAGGCAAACTCGCGCTCGCCATCACACTTGACCCGACATCGAGAGCATCAGAAGTAATCACATTTCTATAGATACTTTGTTTCATCCCTCGGCTTGACTCACTGAAAGTATGCCCTCCTGCGAGCCGTATACCGTGGACGTGGACGAAGGACCCCTAAACCGCTGCTTCGTACCTAAGGAGCTACCTTCCGCCGCCTTTCTGTGACGCTTTTAATTTCTAGGCTCTCTTGCGCACCGTTGGTTTGGGTGCGACTGTGCTCTGATTGATCCTGCCCTGGCTTTTGTTAGATGAGGCATCGCTAGCCTATAACTCGCAACGTACTTAAAGTAAACTAATTACGCTTATTATATAAATATATAAAGAAATAACTCAAATTCGTATACTTACGAATATCGAAATACTATAACTAGAAAAGATCGAAGGGACCGATCTTTCGGAGGGGAGATATAGTCTACTTATTATATAAAAATTTCATAATAACTCGACCTTTACTAAAACTCGACTATAAAAAACTTAGACTATTTAAAATTAAAGAAGTTATCTTAGATATTAATTATAGACTCTTATTACCCTTAAGCATAAGGATATACCTAGTTTTTTATATTTTATTACTCGAAAAAGCACTTGTAACACCGTGGCCGAAGGAAGTCAGCGGTGCAGTCACAAGGAATCACGGAGGCCTCGGATGCTATGGCGTACCG